TTTTTGGCAAAAATCATGTCTTATATTCTTAAAATACAGTATAAGATGCATTAAAACTGATTTTTTTCATCAGTTAATACAACTGTATATTGTACAGAGAGATTCCTATCAGATATGGAAACTTTATTTTAACATAGAACCTGTTGGCTTGAATAAATGCATTTTGGTTTTACTCTTCTACATTTATATATCACACTTATATCAGAATGTAAAATGAAAAAAATACAATTGAAATGAATGTAAAAATTAAAAATTTTATATCTTTAACTTTTAGATTCATTTTAATTCATCTTACAACAGTTTAATTTTACTATATAGTCTGAACAAAAAACATTTTTCGTATATATTATATGCAATATATATATATAAAATTGTTTAATAAAACTTTAATCAATATACAATACACAATTTTTTTCTCTCATAACTATTAATATATTTTAAAAAAATACATATTTTATTGAGGTTTCTTCATTATGAAGGAAGTATTTATTAGAATACTGAAAGTAGAATAAATGAACGAAGTAAAACTTTTTAAAATTCAATAAATTCAAAATAATTTCTTTCATAAAAATGAATACAGTAGAGTCTCGAAAACTCGGCCTAATGTGGACCAAAGGGTGGCTGAGTTTGTGAAAATGCTGGGTTATCGGGAATGGGGTTAAAAAAAAATAAGTATGAGTGTTTCCTCAGAAAATACTGTACTGTACTTGTATGTATTGTTTACTTGAGAATACAAGAGAGAATAAACTGCCCAAATACCCATAAACAAAGGAAAAGTACGTCCTTTATGAAGGCATAGAGCCTTTACTACATGAAAATGAAAATTAATGAATACACTGTGTACAGTAATTTACCTGATAAGACAGACCNACAGTACAAGAAGTAATTCTTATCGTTGAAAGTAATTCAATTTTTCTTTTATATTTTCTAATTTTTCACGAACATTTCAGCATCAGTCACTTTCTTCTATCCATATCCAGCGACCTTGATGCCAATCAGATCGTGTCCATAAAGTAGAAAACTATGACTTGTAGTGTAGCCTATTATTAACTTGCTAAAATTGGTTAGCAAAGCCGTGGAAAGACAGGGCCAGAGAGGGCACGTGCCCAGAACGCCAAAATTATCACATGGGCGAACTAATAAATTCATAGAAAACACATACGAGTATGAAAAATGAGGAGCCTTAGGCAATTGCCTAAGGCCCATCGTTACAAGTGCATAAAAAGTGTACTGTTTCTACAGATAACATCTGTTAACAACATAAAAAATGTGTTTTGAGTGTTTCCTCAGAAAATACTGTACTGTACTTGTATGTATTGTTTACTTGAGAATACAAGAGAGAATAAACTGCCCAAATACCCATAAACAAAGGAAAAGTACGTCCTTTATGAAGGCATAGAGCCTTTACTACATGAAAATGAAAATTAATGAATACACTGTGTACAGTAATTTACCTGATAAGACAGANCTTAATGTCAAATTTAATTTGAATTATTTCAAATTACTAGTTTATAAATAATTTTTTTCAAAAGAAAATTAAGAATTCTTTAGTAGACTTCTAAAAAATCACTGAAATCTGTTATTGCATTTGAGATATTAAGAAAATTCTAGAGAATTTAGCATATTTTATCAAATAATGCTATAAATTATGACATTTATTTCCTTAATTGTATGTTAATCAATCAACAATTTATTTTAATCAGTTAATTATATTGCTAATTTATTTCCATATAACATTAATGCATCAAAAGAAGTTTAAAATTGTTTTCTGTTAAGTTGTAATTCAACTTTTCTAGGGATGTGTTACAGGCATTCACAAATGAAAATATATACTGTATACATTTTTTAAAAATAATACCATAACACATTTAATGCAAAATTTTTACTAATATGAAGTAATAATAAATTAATAATACAGAAATTATAACTTATTCATTTATAGCCAAATATGCTGCAGTGTTTATAGTACCATTGTGTTGTTCTTGTAATCTCTAAATATTTAAACTTCACCCATCTCAATGTAACTCCATTTAGCTGGAAAGTATATTGAACAGGATTTCTTGAGTACCAACACTTCCAATCTTTGGCATGGTTATTTTACATTGCATAGCCTATATATTAAATTGCATTACAAACTTCAATTACTAGTTCTTGATAAGGTGGCTATTTAAAATCTTTCTTCTTTATTATATGAAAAGTATTTTAATCATCATCATGAAAATAGAATGCTTCAGTTTTTCTTCTACATTAACTTAATCCAAAGGCAAAGTTACTGAGGGGTTTGACAGAGCATTTCACCCATCGATGTTGGCAAAAATATGCCGCAAAAAATATATATATATATATATATATATTTCAAAATTAAAAGAAATGTAATATAAAGAAAAGACATGAGGGATAGGGAGAACGGGAGAAGAGCCAGCCATGTTGACTGGCTTTTTGTATGAACTATTGGTATCAGTTGGCAAAATCAGCTTCCATATCTCATCACAAGACTATCACATATAGTCTTGTGCCTGTGTTGTAAAAATTTAACTAAAAATATATTTTGTCTTAATGAAAGCATTGAAAATATTTTAATACATGAGATGATATAGAAAATTTAAATATGTAACTGAAATTTCTTGAATAGATTCTCAAATAAATTTCTTGAATTCTTACCAATTACTTGAATAGAAAAATCTATTAAAATATTTATTATATCAGATAATTAATAAAGTAAACAATTTTAAAAGTATAAATCATCAAAAATCAAATTTAAGAATGAAACTATAATTTTTGGAAAATTTACACTTTATGGAAAGAAAAGTTAGTTTCTTGACTTTAATTACATTGTTATTATGTAATTTTCTCTGTATAAAAATCTAAAATTGGAAAGTTTTGATTCACTAAAAATATTTTTCTTATTAAAGAATATAAATTCATCAAAATATTTTTATAAATGATATAATTATTTTACTAACAAATACTAAAATAATTTATAATAAAATTATATAAATGACCTTAAATAAATTATAATCACTATCTAATATCTCAAAAGGTTAAAGTTGGCAAAAATTTTAAATGCAAAATTGTATTTTAAAGATATGTATGACTTTTTTCCACAAGCAAATAGCATTACATCTCATTATACAAATGTCAGTAAATAATTATTCATTAGCTTAAAGAATTTATCAATTAGAAGTAATAACAGCAGCTCTATCTGTATAAATCCTACTATTTAATATTTATAAATCTCTTCAAATTCGAGTGACTACATCATTTCATAGTTTATATTTTTGAAAATACAAAAATCCAGAAAATATAAGTATTTTTATATAAAAACTTGAAGACATTTGATTGATAATTCAAAGAAAAAATTATATATAATTTTAATATTAATCAATAATATATTGTAGCAATAAATAATTTTATTAATTATATAACAAACAAATATTTTTGATAAAATAAAAATTACATTCATATAGAATGATCAAACACAATAACTTTAATTACTTATATACTTCTATGAAATACTCATGTAAACTAATTAATAAAGTTATTGCTGGAATATATCAATTAATAGTAGTATTTAATATATAATTTTTTTCCTAGAATATAAGAATATTTTAGAAATTGTGAGAATGCTCTCATTTTACACTGGTGATGCATTCCTGAAAGAGGCAATGTAAAAAATTTGGCACAAAATAAATCCATTTTATTATGAAATGAATAGGGATGTGTTACAGGCATTCACAAATGAATATATATATATATATATATTTTTTTTTTTTAATAATACCATAACACATTTAGTGAAAAATTTTTACTAACATGAAGTAGTAATAAATTAATAATACAGAAATTATAACTTATTCATTTATAGCCAAATATGCTGCAGTTTTTATAGTACCATTGTGTTGTTCTTGTACAGCCAGCTGCTGCTGGACACAACTTCAGTTCTGCAATGATGGTCCTGGTTGGGAATCATCCATAGATAACAGGCTAGGCTGAAGATCATGCACCTGCATTAAATATGATCCATGCCTTTCTTTTCCTCTTATGTAGAATTTCATAGTAAGATGCTAAGGCTTCATTTAAATTCCTTTTTACAAAGTNTCATCTAATTTCATAATTTAAAAAGCCAAGTAAAAATAAAATATACAAATATTTGTTGTTTATCTTTATGTATGTAAACTAATTAGCATAGGATATTCTATGGGCACATTGCTTGATAAAGCGACATTAATACGGCTGGATAAGCAAACCAATAACAGTCCATTTCAAACAAAATGGGCAATGTCATTGGCTTACTTATCCAGCTACATTAAAGCTGCTTTACCAGACATCCTATGTTATGCTATTTAAATAAATATTTCAATTCTCTGAAAAATAAATGAATATTTATTTATTAATTTAGTTGACAGCAAGTGTGTTAATATATATGCTTTTGGTTAAAAATGTAAGTATTTTTTTAACTGAAAGCATAAATTTATATATATATATGTATTATAATAATAATTAAACAATTATGAAATAATAAATGCTTGAGATTATCAGTTTGAAACAAAATAAACTTGTATTTATAAACAGAATGATAAATAAAAACTTTTATCAATTATTTGCATTTTAAAAAAAACATTCATTATGCAAGCAGAAATTTTGAATTAAAAACAAATCAACATCTTTTGCAATCATAAATTAAAAAAAATAAACAGAAGGATAATATCTAATTAAGATTTTTTTATTTCTTTAATTTGTTTTATCATTGGAATGATGAATAAGTTATGAAAGTAATAAAAATATTCTTAATTTTTTTTTTAAATTATAAATTTTTTAACATTTGATTTCAAGTAGCCACCTACTTTTATGATTCATATTAACAAACTTCAAACTTTTGACTTTACAAGTTGTTAACATGACATCATTTAGAATTGCATGCGTACGCACACAAGTCTGCATTCTTACGAATTTATATTTTTTCCAAAATAAATTACTATTGATACGGCATCGAAACTCACCATCGTTTACTACCGGACTCACGAAATTTATAGGCGTTCGAGAAGCAGATACCATTCCATTAGGAGACTGTTGACTAAAGTGCTCTTCTATGTGAGAAGCCAATTCAAGGCCACAATTAAAATTAGAGCAACCACACACGGGACAACACTCATTAGAATTTTCATCACCGGGAGTCACCTGAGTGGATTTCGCGGGACTGAGAACGTCTCGATGGTCCATGTTGACGTGCAGTTCCAAGTCGGGACTGGTCTCAAAGTTCCTGTTGCACAGAGGACAGGTGAAGGGTCTGTTGTGAGATCGGTCACAGTTAACAAAGTCTGGAAACGATGGACTAGTGAGATCAAAATGTTGACGGTTGATGTGTTCCTGAAGTTTAGTGGGCGAGGGATTTCCGTAATCACAGAGAGGACAAGTGGTGATCCTATCACCATTTGTGACTCTAGGACTGGAAATATCCCTCCTCCACTGCGAAGGAGGCAAATTCAAAGAAAGATTCCCTCTATGCGGCGAATAACATCCCACGTTACTTTCGCTGGCAGAATTATTATTATCGGTCATCACGAACCGTTCCAAAGAATCATTTGACGTGGAGGCACACCTCATCTTGTCACCCACGGGGCTTAAATACTGGAGATGCACTGTACTAACGTGATAGACCATTTCGTCGGCAGAAATGTCTCCCAGATCACAAAAGGGGCATGATATGGCCCCTTCTATGTGGGCGATCATGGTATGAGATCTCATATCATCTTCCGTTAGCTCTTCCTCTCCACAAATATCGCAGCAATAAAGCGTGTCGGGATGCTTAGCTGCCATGGATCTCGAAATTATAAAAATTATATACAGAAAACAAAATTGATTTTTTCCGCCGGCATATCCGGAAATTGGATTAACCTTCACCGATAACGATTTACCACAATTATAACCATATTTTTCTACCTAATTTTAATAAGATAAATACGAATAATACGTATTTTTAAATTTGATTTTTAAAAACAAATCAAATCAGGAACACAAATTGCCGTCCACAGTCGCGTGCGACCGGATCATCTAAGAATAACCTCCACACCGAAGATTCTCGCCTGCGCCTTTCTTTCATTGTCATCCACAATGTGCATCAACCGTGTAGTAAAATTATTATTAATCATTCCAATTCGTTAAAAATAATTTATTTTATAATTAACAGTCGTAAATATTAAAAATTAATTATCGTTTGAATTTTTTATTATTCGTTCGGTTTCGAAAAAGAAACGGCGAAGAGGCGTTTAACTCTTTTATTAAATTAATGTTTTTCAAAAATTAGTTTCGTGTAAATATTCCATCCTGTTATTATTAATTATGCTTTTTAATAAGCAATATTTAAATTGCTATGACAACTATTTTATCGAAAAGAAAATAAATATTACGAGATTGGCAACAATGCATCATGAGAATTTGTTTGCTTGTTTTCAATGAATTCTTTATTTCTATTTAATGGTCATTTCCACAAAACTTTTTCTCCGCATCTTATTGATATAGCAAATGCACGTGAAAAATACATTTTATTTATAAATATTTTATCAATAATTGTGAATCGATAAATTAATTAGGAAATCATTGATTTAAAAAAGTAAACATTCAGCAAAATGTAAATAAAGAATGCTGTCAGGGCTGTGGAGTCGGAGTCGGAGTCGTGGAGTTTTGATGTTTTAGACGGAGTCGGAATCGGAGTCGGAGTTGAAGTCGGTAGAATTTTACGCGACTTCCACAGCCCTGGCAGGGCTGTTGAGTCGGAATCGGAGTCGGAGTCGTGGANAAGAATGCTGTCAGGGCTGTGGAGTCGGAGTCGGAGTCGTGGAGTTTTGATGTTTTAGACGGAGTCGGAATCGGAGTCGGAGTTGAAGTCGGTAGATTTTTACGCGACTTCCACAGCCCTGGCAGGGCTGTTGAGTCGGAGTCGGAGTCGGATGATAAGGAAAAGTCGGAGTTGGAGTCGGTAGATTTTTACGCGACTTCCACAGCCCTGGCAGGGCTGTTGAGTCGGAATCGGAGTCGGAGTCGTGGAGTTTTGGTGTTTTAGCCGGAGTCGGAGTCGGAGTCGGATGATAAGGAAAAGTCGGAGTCGGAGTCGGAGTTGGAGTCGGTAGATTTTTACGCGACTCCACAGCCCTGTATTTTATATTAGTTAAGATGCAGAATGGCATTCTATATAACAGAATGTAAATGGATGGTATTTTATATTATATACAATTTAAATACTGGTATCCTTCGAACAATACGGTTTTCCGTGGTCGAATGGCCGAGCGGTCAAGGTGACAGCCTACCGCTCTGGGAAACTCGGAATCAAATCTGGACGAGGTCGAAAAATCCCGAAGAATTTTTTGAGGTGGATGGTCCGTCCGAATTCGTCGGGTCCCGTCATTAACCTCCCGGGCCGCTACGTTGTGTGTGGCCTGGCCGAACCATAATGGGCTTGCTAAAAAAAGAGGCCCTCTTAGTGCCCAAACAGCGGGAAAAAAACGCGGTTTTGGGAATCCTTCTTAAAAAATTTCACAAATTTTGAGTGAAATCTCCGTTATTCGAATTTTTTTTTTATTCAAGTAAGCATGTGTGTCGTGTTAAATTTGCCCGCGGATTCTAGAATATTGAAATTATTAATTTATTTTGTGCCTCTCGTCAGGTTTATTTTAATGGAAAAAGTAATGCAGTTTGTTTCTTCCTTGTTCTAGCTTTCCTACCAACCGGGTGTCGTCGTTTCTTTCAGATTTTAGCCTTTAAGACTGTCACTGTGTTTTGTTTTTATAATTTAATCTTCGTATTTAGTAAAGCTTATTTAAATATTTAAAATAAACTTAATATTAACGCCTTAATAAAGTTCTTTTAATTGTGATTGTTAATTAATTATTTATTTTAAATGAATTACTGATTGTTTTCATAAACATTTCTCTTAGTAACGAAAAAGAATAACATATTTTTGTTAACTTTTGAAACTTACTTCCGTATTTTGTATTAATTCCTTGTTTCGTATAGCACGAATTCACATAACACGGCACTTTTTCGGAACGTAACTATCGTGTTATACGAGAGATAATCTGTATTATAATTATTACTGTTATAGAGTAAATATCAAGTTACTTCACTTTACCAGTACATACTTTTTTACCCTTTTCCAATTTCATGTTATTTTGGGTTCTGTCCGAATCCACAATAAGTTTACGTGGGTTCGACCAGAGTCCAAAATAGGGCGGCCGGGTGATAGGGGTTTTGGAGCTAAATATTTAATTAAGGACCAGCTACTGATACTTAATGACCTGATAAATATAGTACTTGTTTAATCTTCAAAGAATTGTATAAGTATACGAAAACCGCAGTTTGGCCATCGTAACTATATATTGTAATTATATAAATTACTGTACGTTGCACTTATTTATGTGTATATAATAATAATAATAATATACATATATAGTACATACATGCAACTCATAGTTTTATACTCACGGTGTCCCAGAAAGGTCTTGCTACGCTTAATGTGTAAGTCTATGTGTACTATTAAGTTTTAAACTTCTATATACGCTAACTTTAGGGATACAAATGGATTTAAAAGTTCGCTTTTGAATGTCATTTTAATACTTTAAATTTTCAAAATTTAATATACAATATATCACGCAGAAAATTGTTTTAAAGGATTTTTAATACTGAATCCAGTAGCAAAATCAGATTTGAAATCGAATTAATCAGAAGTTATACCGAAAACACCTCATTTACCACGTTCAGAAAATTTTCTCAGAATAATCGCTATTACTTTATATTTGAGAATGATTTGTCTTCTAAAACAACTAGATATTAAATTGAATCACTCGTAAAGCAGTATTTAGATTTAATCCTACGTAAACAATTTAATACATATGTTTAATAATAATAGAGAGGTTGCGGCCGACGTTTTCATTGCGAATAATCTAGGACCTTGATCACGCTCGAAACTTCTAGGCTTACAGTAAGGCAGCGCTGAACGTCCGACGTACACGTTTTCGCAATGAAAACGTCGGCCGCAACGTCGGCTATTGTTTACTTTTTCACTTCACAGTTTCATATAAAAAATTCGTGGTAAATGCCAGCTCCTAAAATTTCACTATAATAGCGACTTCATCAAGAATTTTTCACGGGCATCCCATCCCGAATAACACTGTTAGTCAAGGGTTCGTACCTCACCAACGGGCTCGCCACGAAACTTTTTCACGTGTCTACCACCCGAACGGAGGACAACCTCCGAAAGAAAGTCCTCCTGGGAGACACTCCTCTTCGACAAATCGCCTATTTGTTGCGTTGTCTATAGACCCGTCTTTTTAGGCTTTCCCATTGTGGACTTAGCTGAACCCATTACGAGCTTTCTAGTAATTAAAGTGAAACTTTGGCATGTTTTAAAAGTAAAACTCATTATGAAGCTTCTAAATAGTAGTTGTCTACTTGTTTTCATACAGTTTACTATTATTGTAAAATAATAATAATAATGTCAACAATTCGGCCGCTGTCATTGTGGGCCCACTACGGGTATGGAAAAAAGACTGTCTTAGTGCTCACAGAGAGTCAAAATGAAAAAAGAAAATAAGAATACAAACGTAGATAGTGAATTTATTTTTTAACTTTTGTCATTGAGAACAGACTAATTTTAGCCAATGAGTGAATGAATAGACACATTGTATCGAATCAGAGAACTTCGGTGAATCAACCCTTTATTCAATTGTTAAATTAAACATTGATTCTATTGTAGTGTGCTGCCCCCTGCAAAAAAAATTATGAGTATTGGTGTTTGTTGAACTGTTGTAAAGAATGAAATTACAGATACGCATGACGTACGAGAATTGCAGTGTGACGTCAGTAGGAGGCAATTAGTGGTTGGAATAATTGGACATTCGGTTAATTTGAAAAACACTTCTGCTGTATTTTTCTCACCCGAATTAATCGTTTTTACAATTTCTTAATTTTTTTTTAAATCTTTGATATAATCGCAAGACTAAAATGTAACGTATATAATATAAATATACTGTATATTAGTATATAAATATATAATATATGAAGCGCTGTAGTCGTGCCAGATATTGGTACTTTTTTCAAAGCAGAGCGAAGCTCGTGTTCTTTAACATTTAGGTTGGACTTTAGACTATGTACCTTGGCCAAAAACTGAGAAAAACTACTTCTTGCACAGTATTTTGCGCCGATTACGAATATATGGACCATTTTTGGCGCATGTAAGCCATTTTGCAGAATTTCTCTACAATGTTGCACTTTTCCCATACAAAAAAAAAACATCCTCCATAGATAGTGGAGATTTAAACTCCGGGCCCTCTGATACATTTTAATATACGACTACCTTCCTGAATATTCTATAAATTAGTATGTTATACAGTGCTATGTTATATAATTATATAACATAGCACTATTTAATAAGCCCGTAGATATATGTATCTATTTGATCTAGACTAAGTGTTAAACAACATTAAGAGCTAAAAGTAATAGATTACACAGCACTATGTTATATCAATTCTTAATTTTATTTGTTTTAATTTTACTGCGATGATTCGAGTACTTCGAAACATTCAAATAAACCGTTTCGCAAAAGCCTAGAACAGACCAGAGCCAGGCTTCGGAACGAACTGAGAAACATCCAGAAGAAGCGGAATATTGTATAAATACACGATTATTCAGCTGACGATTTCATTGAGACAGTTGACAGTACAATCTGCCGAGTGATTGAATGCGCGTTCAAGTGTAATCTTCTCAGTTAGGAGATGAAATTCCAAGACATAAGATCTTTTCTACAGAAATGTATAAATAGTCATCCTACAGAAACAACTAACAATGTGCTGACATAACGAACGAGAAGGAGATAAGTATCTCTAAACAAAGCAATCTATCACTAACAACGTCAGCGATAGTTGGTTATAATGAAGTTGGAATCAAAGAAACTGAGAAAGAAGGACACTTGGATATGGGTACTCTTGAGATACAGTGTGGCTATGACAGACTGTTCTTGATTAGTCACTCCATATTCTTTCCAGTTTCAGATTGTTTATGAATGCGTGTATGACAAAAATTATTGATTTTAACTTGTTTCATACAAGGTCTATAA